TAACTCGCCCTTTAGTGACCCCACAGTGACACGAGAGAAGGAATGGCTAGTGTCCCTGACCTTTGGTACCCTCGCGGCGTCATTTTGGGCCCAGCTAGCTCAACCACGCTAGGACAATCTCCCTAGTTCTCTCTAGGCTATATTAACCCTCCGGCCCTTTGGTACTCCCGCGGCGACCGGGTTTTCATAAAAAATTTTAATCAAACTTCTTCCCCAAAATCCCCATTTTTCATATCAAAACAATATTTCCCTTTTTCATGCCCAATGTTGACACATGAATGCATCAATGCCATGTCTATGTCCATCATTCTACAACTAACTCAAATTTAATTAACAAAGCATGGTTCATAAGGACTTCCAAGGAATTTACAACATGTGGTCATACAATAAAAATCTAGCATGATAGGCATTTGAAAAATCAACACTTAAGCATGTTCTTCACATAGATCATTCAACACACATAATTACACAATTGACCAATATACACAACAACTAAGCAATTGACTAGATACTATACAAATTAAGCATGCTAAACAACCATTTATGAGAAGATAACTCACAAAAGTACAAGATTGCATGGATTAAGGGCCCCTACCTCAAGTTTGTGCAAAACCCTCAAAATGAGTCTCCAAAATCGAAATCCCTACGGAGGCTCAAAGCTGAAATTGTTGGTACTCACATGTAGAGCTCGTCGTGCTCTCCATTTTGCCTCAAACGGCACTCCAAAATTTCAAATAATGAGAGAGTTATCAAGCTTTAAAGATTGAAATAAAAGAAGAAGAAAAAATAAAAATAAAAAATAAAAAATTGGAGTTTGAGAAAGTGAGAGAGAAACTAGCGAAGAGAGAGAATGTGAGGCCATGTGTGATCTCTTGACCACTAAAAACATGAGTGGTGAGTCCCACCACCAACCTTTTCTTTTCTCTTTTTCTTTATTTTTATTCCTACACCACAAACATATATGTAATACACCACCAAGCTAATGCCACATAAAGCTCATAAAACAAAACGTATGAAATGCAAGTGAACTCAACTAAAATATCCGTACGCGAAACGTGAAAAGACGAAAATGCCCTTGCGTCAACAAAATTCTGGAAAAATGAAAAATCTTGAAAATCGGGAACATCACAGGCCTCACCAAAAATTAAAACATTTTCCTTTTTTTTTTTTTCTTTTATTCTCACCACAATTATATATACACAACTACATAAAACTCACATAAAGCACATTAAATAAAATGTATGGAATATAAATGGACCCAACTAAAATCCCTGTATGCAACAATTCTGGTAGCGGGTACCACACGAGACCGTCCGGCCCAAAAAACGAAAAAATGCAAAAATGACAACCATTGTATTTCTAGGAGTCCTAAACTCAAATAAATGCCCCAATCAACTCTCGAACACACCCGGCATACCCCACGGTGTCCAACACGCGAAATGAGGAAAGACGAAAATACCCTCGAAAAATTAGAAAAATCCAAAAATTGGAAGATGGTAAAATTTGGAAACATTACATCATCCAATAAAAAAAAATATTTGATTTGGTTAGATCCGATGTAATGACCGGACAAACTATCTATCATTAAATCAATTTCTGACAATTCGATCCACTAAGAAGTTTGTTTTTTTTGTTAATATATTCAAAATAAATTAAAAAGAAAGAAAGAGTGAAGGGCCAAAAAAATATGAACAAAAATAGAGAAGAAATTAGATATTTGATTCTTATGTAGATTATAAAAAAACAATAAATACTACATATATAAAATAAAAAAAAAATCAATGGGAGAAAGAAAAGAATTCAAAAAATGAAAAAAAAAATGGAATAATGAAGAGTTTCAATATTGTACATTGTAAAATACTGTGTAAACAATATTTTTGATTAATTTTTTCATCAACTATATACCGATTATATATTATATTTAGCTGGATCGAATTATTAACGGATCAGATTGACCAAAATTCATACAGATTGAAATCTAATCCATTGACCAATCCAGGTGTAAAGTTTATGTTTGTGGTGAAGATCTAACTAAAAATTTCATTCTCTAAAAAATCACGGTGAAAATCCGACAAAATTTTTCACTATGTTAAAAATAGGAAATTACAAGGTTTAACTTCCAAAACCCCCCTTTCTCACTTTCTAATATGCAGCTTTCAAGTGCTCTCTCACACCAATTTCAAAGATCCTAAGTGCCCTTATATATTAAACTATAAGAATATTAAAAATTCGGTCAAAACCAAATTACAACACGATTACACCTAAAACAAAATTTTAGTCACAACATCATAAATGTACATCTGAGAAAGACAGTTTGGAAGGTATGTTTGGTAGGGGTGGATCCAAAAACATTCTCTTGCGGGGCTGAGCTTATAGTGTAAAGACTTGTGTTTCAAATTATAAATTATAGGGTGGACTGCATTAATACCTCTTTTTTATTTGCATTTTGCAGTAAACCTCTCTTTTTTATTTTTATCAAAAGTTAAACTCCTCTCAACTATTCAAGAGGATAAGTTAACAGACGGTAGTTGAAATGAGTCATTTGGACATTGAGTTTTTTTTATATATTTTTGAGATAAAAATGTCATTGAGTTTTTTCATATATTTTTGAGATAAAAATATACAGATTTTATATATACTCCATGTATATATATACTCTGTTATCATTCTTAACTACATATGCTCCACCATTGCAGCAACACATACTCATTTCTTACTCTTCTTCTTTTGTTTACCCATTATATACTCCGTATTATATATTTATATATTATATACACCATTATAATGTTATACATAATATTTTATTTACACTATATTTGTATTCCAACCTTCCTTCACACCCACATGAATCTGGGTCTTTTCTTGATACTAATCTACTGTCTATCTATCTATCTATCTTTTTTTTTTTTTTTTTTTGGAATTATATTTTGTTTTTATTTATTTGGTTTTGATTAATTTTCATTTTATATAGATTTATTAAATAAAGTCATCTTCTACCACTACGGAAAATAATTCCTAAATGTTTTTCCTTATTTATTTTTTCTTTTTTATGCCTACATGTTTTTAATTTTATTTTTTTATTTCAAAATATTTTTTTCGTGTAAGAAATTCATTCCTTCCATGTGACTAATGTGAACTTGAGCATCATGACATTATTATAGAATTGTTTAGTCCATGATTTTATAGACAAAAAGTGAACTGATTGTTTAGTCCATGTAAATTAAATGAATTTTGTAATTCATTAAATACTTATAAAAACATGTCTAATTAATTAGGTCGTTGATATGCAGAAAGTTGGATAAAAAATTATTTGTTAAGAGTGAGGCAGTTGAATTAATATTGGTGTGAAATATAAGCCATGACTCCAAGAATTTATAACAACCAACTTCAATTTTTCCGTGTGAACTGATTGGAATTTCCTCCTTGTAAAAACCAAAGAAGGACTTGACTGGTTCAAATTTTTACATATATGGAATATACGAATTAATAAGAAATTCAAAACCTAGATATAAATATCGTCGTTGATGTCGTCGACATCACTGAAATTGAAAGTCCAATTTCCATTTGGATTGTTGAATTGCTAGGCAGCTCAAGATGTATAGATATATATGGTGTTCTTGACAATGGACTCGTTGTTTGGTACAACTTAAATTTATTTTCTATGGGTCCTGGTCTGAGCTTGGAATTCTATTCAACACATTTAATTTTGTAACTTAGTTGTTGACGTGACTTAGATCTCAATTCATCATGTGGTGGTCCATGCTGACTCGATCATGTGTGGTTAGCCAGAAAAATACAAAATGAGGAACAATTATATGCAGGATTATTCGTCTACGTCTTGGTTATTTATTTATTATTATTATTTTCAAAGACAGCATTGGTCTTCCTAAAGAAATTGGCCACCTAATTTATCTCCGTCGAGTAGTGGGATTCGTCAACTTCAATTCCAAATTAAAATAATAAGTGTTTTGTTTTTAATATTTTTGAGAAGTATTTTTAAAAAGTTGAACGAAACAAAATGTTACTAAATTTCTTGATTGTCTTCTATAACTAAAGTCTATGGCATTGGAATTCCACATCTAATATTTTTCCAAATTGGCCATAATTAATGGATATATCGTGGTAACTTTATATAAGTTCATGCAACGTCCAAAAGTGGACTATTAAACTGAATTACCCAACATATGAGTTAGAAATAAACATATAAAGTGACCACTGTGGGACTTTTCGTGATCTTTAAGCGAAAAATTAATCTAGACCGTTGAAATTACAAGCCAGTCTTCAGTCTCAGTCATTGCATGGAGACACAATCCAGATTTCACACATAAAAATTTTATTTATTGCCAGGAATCATTAATTTTTTCGTAGAAGGGATATAAAAATTTTGAGATTATCTCTTTAGGTCGAAGTCTACAAAACGGTGCATCAATATATAAGTGGCAAATTTTTAAGGTTTAAATTTTTCATGAATTTTTTTTTTTTTTTTTTTTTCTATTGAAATTAAATTCAAATTTAGCACAACCATGTCTTGTCCAACACTCAAAGTTCTAAAGACAAAAAACTCAACACGAGTTGCATGCCACAATATATATATTTTTTTTTATGAGACTCGAACTCTCTTACATTACATTTGACTCCGTTTGCTTAGACGTAAAATATTTTTTTATTTTTCGATATTTGGTTGTCGTAAAATATTTACGAAGAAAAAAAATATTAAAATTTTACAAAAATAATTTCTTCATAAATTTTCGATAAGTTATTTTACATGTCACACCAAATGGACTCGACCTCAACTTCAACATAGGCCTTTGTTAAATACCAACAAAGTAAAAATAAAAGAATATTTTACTTAAGAAAAAAAAAAATTTAAAAACTATTTTACGTCGAAACAAACGAAGCCAATATTAAAAAGAGAGAAGATACTACTTAAACAACAAGTCTCCCCCAATTATTTCTTTTGAAAATCATGGGTTGCAAATCCGAATTCTGACCATCCTCAAATGAAAAATAAATTGCCCAACTTTGAAGGGCTAGGTCTGGCCCCATTGGGTTCCAATCAGGCCAAGTCGGCCCAAAATCAGGATCAAGCAAGCCATGGTGCATACAAGGTTTGGGCCGACAAACATGATTCATGCAAGCACCCGAACGACGTCACTGCAATTATTAGGTTTCATGCATATTCACTTGATAAAATTATTAATTTATAGGGCAAATTACATCTAAGGCTCACGTGATTTACATATTGTGCAATTAAATAAAAATATGGACAATATTACAATAATGTCTAAATTGACTAATAGATTTTTGAATATAAAAGTAAATTTACATATATGACCTTAAGGCACTTAACTATTATTTAAAAGAAAAATCTGGAAGAAAGGTGACGAGATAATTTACGTTTTTACCGCTCCTCGTACGCAACTCAATTTGGCGGTAAACAACAGAATAGTTTGGAAGATGAATGCTTGTTGGCACTGGTACTTGAGAACTTATGTGACTTTTTTTTTTTTTCGAAAGATAATATTTATGACTTGTTGATTTGTATGTGTTGATGAATTAGTAAGGATAATATAATAGATTCTACCACACTTCAAAAAAATATCTAAAAATACCTTTGAATTGTTTTCTATACTTTTCTTGCTTGGTCTGATTTGGTTGTTTTCAAGAAACAACCAAATATATTGATAGAATATAATTTTTTGAACTGTGGTAGAATATATTATATTATCTTTACTAATTCACCAACATATATAAAAAATAAAAAAAAAAGTCATAAATATTCATCATATAAGTTCTCAAGTACCAGTACCAACAAGCATTCATCTTCCAAACTACTATGTTGTTTACCGCCAAATTGAGTTGCATACGAGGAGGGGTAAAAACGTAAGCTACCTCATCAACTTCCTTCCAAATTTTTCTTTTAAATAATGGTTGAGTGCCTTAAGGTCATATATGTAAATTTACTTTCATATTCAAAAGTCAATTAGTCAATTTGGACCTTATTGAAATATTGTTCATACTTTTATTTAAGTGCATAATATGTAAACCACGTGGATTCTAGATGTCATTTGCCCTACTTTATACACCTTAACACGTTTTAATAATTTTTAACATTTATTTTCGAAATGAAATGCAATATTTATCCACTCCCAACCATTTCAAATAAATAGGCAAACCTTAAACTCAACATTTCATACTATGATTACTAACCCCCTCACTTATGCCTTAAGGAAGAGTTTGTCACCGGCTTCACACGATGGCTTAGCTCATCTTACACTCACACTCATAACTCAACAAAATCTCAAGATGATATCAATCAAGTAAGTAATTAAATTCATAATTAACATCAATAGTTCAATACTGTTACTAATTGTGATCATATATGAAAATTTGAAATGATTATGCAGAAAAAGGGGAATGAAACGGAGATGTTGATGGATGAGCGGAGTGTTGATAGGTCTCCATGGGCATGGACAAAAGCTACAATGCTTGTGGTGGTCGGAATTGTTATATTGGCAGTTCTAGCAGAACCACTTGTGCATAGTGTTCAGGATTTCTCTAAAAGACCAAATCTGCCATCTTTCTTCATCTCCTTTATCTTAGTTCCGCTGGCTACTAGTTCTAGGGTTGCAATTTCAGCAATCAAACCCGTAAGTCGGAAGAAGCCAAGAACAACTTCTCTAACATTTTCTGAGGTTTGTTTCTCCCTTTCTATATTCACGACTTGGAGTACACTAGACATATATAATAAAAAGAACAATTTAATGGGAAATTTTTTATTAGTGTTTTGAGTAATGTTATGCAAAACACACAATACTAACCAGAATTTACATACAGAATGGTGACAACTGACTACATTCTGCATAAGAATTCCAATTGATCGTATATTCATTTTGCTAATTGAAAAAAAAAAATCCAGCTTCTTTTGATCAAGCCAAGGATAATGGGCAAAATCATTGCCATAATATGTTTGTACTGATACAGATCTATGGTGGAGTATTCATGAACAATGTTGTTGGTTTTTCGGTACTATTAGTGTTGGTTTATTTTCGGGGATTGTCGTGGGATTTCTCAGGAGAAGTAGTGATGGTTCTACTGGATTATGGTGTGATGGGTGTTACTGCAAGTTTGGTGTCCATCATCCCAGTTTGCATATCAATGGTGGCATACCTGCTGTACCCGCTGTCTTTCTCATTGTCTACCTTCTTTATTACTCTTTCTGCGGCTGAATGCACCAAAATTGCCTAAATTAAAGCATATTCAAACCAAAATTGATATGTAACATGACTCCCAACTTTGATTTTGATTTTGTTCTTTTATTTTGTTTTAGTTAATGTATTACAAATTAGTGTGTTTTTTCTTAAGGCATTAATAAATAAATAAATAAATCCGTGTAAAACAATTATATATATTTGAGTGTAATATTTGCAATTCTTTTAAAGGGAGGTGAGGGTACCTAATCGAGAAATATATTTACAGGCGGACTGTGCACATAATTTGATTGGGCTTTAGCTGGACAGGCCCAACCCAATCAAACAAAAACAAAAGCTGTACATATAATATGGTTCCTGTTGAAAACAAATACTACGTATATAAAAAAGTTGAAGCCCAAGCTAAGCAAATAAAATGCCCTGAATATAAATAAATAAATAAAAGACCCAACCCATATGTATCGAACGACCGCTAACACAAAATGTTTTGTTTTTTTTTGTAATTCAATGTATTAAAAAGCAAAGTTACTGTACAAAAAAGGCAAAAGGGCCAAAAAAAGCCCATAGGCACAATCCCACAAAAAGCACCCAAACAAAGCCCATTCAAAAGTTGGCCTAGCCTGGTTGATATGCCAAAATATATCAAAAAATAGAAGTCTGAAAGAATACAAAAACCGAACTTGATTACGATCTTGGTTTAGCGAGGTTTGTGGTGACAAAAGCTCTGTTGACTTTGTAGACTTAAATTGCTTCGCAATCTCCAAGTTCATCGAAATTTCTGCAATTTCTTGGTTCCGAGTGCTTGTCAAGCAAAAAAACCTTATGCTATTTCCACATACATTCCAACTTAGTGGAGCCAAGATTTGCTCAAGACTATTCAATAAATGGACCAAAAATATCATTATTACGCAAACGTGTTTATTAAGTCAAGCAGCCAGAAGACCAGATTATATATCATGACCAAGGAAATTACTTACTTGCAAGAAACCTTATACTTGATCTTCATCTACACTCCTTAACTGCACAAATTTTTTTTTTAGTTCTCTCATTTTCTTACAACATGAAATGCAATTTAACTATGCATCATCCAATTCCCATTCAATTAAATTAGCAAAACTTTCCTCTATGAAAACATTTCAAATTAGTCCACATTCTATAATTTTCTATAAATGAACCTCAATTCATTGTCTTGTCTCACCAAAATTGCCTTCTGGGCATTTCCATTATCTTCATTTCTCTCCATCACCCACCATTAAAAATGGGAAATTTTTCGAAAACTGCATACTGTGCTCTTCTTCTTCTTCTCGTGCTACCTTTTCTCAGGGTGACTGCAGGCCGGTCTCTACGATACAGCTCTACTCAATTGGTTTCAGATGGTGTTGATGATGTTCGAGAAACACAACCACCTTCCTCCATACTACGTCGCAAAGGAATTGATTCTGCCGAAGAATGTGAGCAAATGTATGGTTTTTTGCCATGCTCAAACAGTATGATAGGCCATCTCTTCCTAATTGTGGTGTATGAGTTCCTGCTGTTTCATGGAGAGTCCTACGTCGCCTCTGGGGGCGAAAGGATATTCAAGATTCTTGGTCCCGGTGTCTTTGGTGCTAGTGCATTCCATGTCCTCGGCGCCCTCCCAGAGTCCTTGATACTTCTCGGTATGCTCTTCTTCTTCTTCTTTACTTAAATGGATATGTGGTACCAAATTTCATCAAGTTTCTCTGGTTTTTTTTAATTCTATTTCAGCTTTTAAGTTCATCTACGCGAAGTAAATTTGATATGTTTGATATTTAGTAGACGAAGAGTTCAATGAATGCTTATTATGAACACAATATTAAAAATGGCTTGATTAATTGCAGACAAGAAGTCAGGCTGTTATGTGATGTTCAGGGTGACTTTTAGTAGCGTGTACTTTTCTTCTAGGAGACTTGTAGACTTTCGGTGCTCCATATTTAAGTCATGGCTATATTAAACAAATCAAATTGACAGTAAATTTATAGGTTAATTCATGATGAGTTGCCAACTAATGGCATTAATATATAAGGTAGACCAAAATTCTAATGTAATAACATGAGAATAATCTCCCTTTTTTTAGTCAATGTTGTACAGTTTGATTTTATCAACATCCAGCTTTGTATATGTAGTCTCACGCAACTGACTAGGCATAACAGGTCATCTAATCTGATAATCTAGGCGATCAAATCTTGTGACCTCTCTCCAAAATGTGGTTATAATTTTATCTAATCACATCTCTATTATAGTCAACTAGACATTTCAACACAACTCTTTCTGTTCTAACACATTATCAAGAACATTCAAAAAAAAAAAAAAAAAAAAAAAAAAAAGAAGAAGAAGAAAGAAAACAATGTAGTATGAATATGACAGAACGCCCTTTTAAATTTTAAATATTGAAGGGCGCTTTCTCCTATGTTGTGTCAAATTCACATCGAAAAAAAAAAAGAAGAAAGAAAACAATGTAGTTCAGAGAATTGCATAATAGAAATCAACATTTGAATTAAATTTTATAAAATGGGGATAATCAATTGGTTATCTTGATATTGATGGTGGTATACTCTGAATGTCCTACACAATGCTTCAAAAATTGCCTTGGATTTAGATATTGCCTTTAACTGTATTTTGTGTTTTTATTTTTTAATATTATTGGTATGAAAATCTATTCTCAGCATCTGGACTATTGAACAATAAAGAGACTGCCCAAGAGTTTGTCTTAACCGGGGTCGGTTTGCTGGCCGGATCAACAATATTTCTTCTCACAGTACTTTGGGGGACCTGCCTTATTGTTGGCAGTCAAGACTTCCCTAATACTTCTGGGCCTTATACTTTAGTTGGTTCAAATCCCACACAAAACTCCTTTCAGAAATTGTTATCATCATTGACTGGTTAGCTCTTTTTCTCTAGATTTTCCTTTTTTTTTTTTTATTTTAATAACTATTTCTGTTAATTGACGATATGTTGACATAAATTTTATGTAAAGAAGTGCCAGAGTAATGTGGCATCCTTCAAATGCCTATAGATTTACCAATGGCTCTTAACTTGCTTTCTTCTTGTGCATTTTATAGGTTATGGTATAAGTACAGATTCGGAGACTACTTACATGGCAAGGATAATGGTTTTGTCAGTGATACCATTTATAATCATCCAGATCCCACTAGTCTTCGGTTTATCTTCTTCTGCTGAACGCGTCGTGATTATTACCTCTCTTGTTGTCTCTGTTGTGTTCTTGCTATTGTACTTCTTCTATCAGGTAATGACGCCTCAATACTTGCTGTCCAACAATTTTCCTATATTTCTGCAAAGTAGCATTTCATAGTAATACTTTTGTCTCTGTAAATCTTGCAGTTTTTCCAACCTTGGATCCAAAAGCGAAGATTAGAATATGTTAAGCACGAGCATTTCGTACTAGACATACTAAAACATTTGCAGAAACGAACAATACAAAAGCTCATCACTGATAATGGCTCGCCAAATGTATCTGCAATAAGAAGGTTACTAAGATTGTTTGCAACTCTTTTTTTTCAGTTATAAGCATTCCAAAGTTGTTGTCCCTCACTGTTAATTTATTACACTGCAGGCTATTTGAGGAAATTGATCAAGATGACGATGATCTTATATCGTTTGCTGAACTAAAAGAACTTCTCCTCGAAATCAGATTTAGAAAATCAGATTTGGACAAGGATAAAGCAATAGAAAAGGTGATGGAAGAGTTCGATCTTGATGGTGACAAGAAAATTACCGAGGATGAGTTTGTTACTGGATTCACAAAATGGCTTGACGAAACAAAGCATGCATTGGACAAAAGGTTTCTCTCGCGAAAATCATTGCAAGATGTATATCAGGTAAACTCATCTTGTGTCATAAAAAGTACAGACCATTAGTCCAATTGCAATTCAGTACCATGTTCAGAAAGAAGTTGAATTACAAGTATGAAGTTGCTGAAGATATATTAACTTTTATTTTAAAATTTTGACAGATTTTCCAACCTTGGATTCAAAAGAAAAGGAAAGAACACGAAATGAAGAAGACCCTAATAGCAGGAATTCTTGCTCATGTCCAAAGCTATGCACTTGGGAGCCTCTTCACAGAAGATGGAACACCGGATATACCTGCTATAAAAAGGTTAGGTGGCATTTGCTTTTCGCTAGCTAGTAGCTAATTGATTGAATTTTTTTTTTCTCGGTACACTGCAACCATTTAGATTAGTTTAAGTAATGCATTAGGCATATGACATACATGAATTGTTTACACATTTCTCTGAAGGCACTGTCGTAGAAAATGCACATTATATATGCTTCTCATAGTGATCAATCGTCTATTGAATTTCAGATTGTTTGTGACCTTTGATCGCGATGGAGATAACTCCATATCTCAACCTGAATTAAAGGAATTGATTGCGGATATCAAGTTTGGTAAGGTATCTTTGGATGCAGATGAAGCAGTTGCAAAAATAATGGAAGAACTTGATGTAAATCAAGATCAAATGATTAATGAGGAAGAATTTGTAAATGGCTTTTCAAAATGGCTTAGTTCATCTAACATTCATACTCCTAAATCAGCGGAGTCTGAAGATGATATCTATCAAGTAAGTTCATAATAATATGGCTTGCTCTATTCAATACTATAACTACTTTGATATATATATATATAATGTTTGTGAAATGACTATATGCAGAGAACATGGGAAGAAACCGACATGTTGATGGACGAGAGAAGTGTAGACAAGTCTCCATGGGCATGGATAAAGGCTATAATGCTTTTGGTGGTTGGAATTGTTATATTAGCAGTTCTCGCGGAACCTCTTATAGAAAGTGTTGAGAATTTCTCCAATGCAGCAAGTTTACCATCTTTCTTCATCTCATTCATCCTAGTCCCGTTGGCTACTAATGCTAGAGTTGCAACTTCAGCGATCAAAGCTTCAAGCCGTAAGAAGCCAAGAACTACCTCTTTAACATTTTCTGAGGTTTGTCCCTCTTTTTCTCTTTTCATTTGGCGCAGACAAGATAAAGCACAAGAACTACTTCGTAGCAAAACATGATTAATCTGTTGAGTATAGTATATGAACAAAAATTCTAGACATAAATTCACATACAGAACAACGTGGCGATTTAATTAATCTCATATCATTTCAAAAATGCTTCTGTCACGTCATTTTATAGGAAAATTCATTATAGCCAGTGTAGCTGTCTCTATATGTACTTACATAGCACTAACATGTCTGGACAAGTAAGTTCGGTTAAAATGCCAGTTATGTGAACCATATACTAAGCTATAAAACAGTATAATTGCTGCAATGGTCAGAAGTATTGACATATTATTTTTACTGATCAATGCAGATCTATGGTGGAGTGTTCATGAACAACATTCTTGGATTTTCTGTTCTTTTGTCCATAATTTATTTTCGCGGATTGTCATGGGATTTCTCAGCTGAGTTACTGGTTGTGCTAATAGTATCTGCTACAATGGGTCTTGCTTCAAGTTTTATCTCCAGCTTCCCTCTTTGCACGTCGGTCGGGGCATACCTGCTATACCCATTGTCTTTGCTCCTGGTTTACCTTTTATGATAGTTTTCTGGTGGCATTACAAATGATGTTTTACAAGTTGTGTTATGTTGTGTTCTTTGATTTGTTATATTTGATGGAAGGCATTCTTTTGGCAATTTATATAGTTGGTTGTTATGTATATGTTTTACACTTTTGCTCTGTAATCTGTATATAACAAACATCCCACTCTTCAAATTCTCGTCTACCACGAGTCTTCTTAATCTTTGATGAGATATTAGATAATGTTTGGTGATACAGTATTTAGAACACTCCACAAAGAAATATTTTCCATCAAGAATACGCTCCTACTTATATATGGTTCGCAGTTGCGATCGCGATGCAACGGACTCGAACGAATATCGATGTAAATGTACCAGTCAAAGCGGCCGGTAGAAAATGTTATGAATTGTATATGGCAAACCATACCTACCATAAACTACATTTATCATACTCTCAGATAGGCCAAAACTTGTACGGTCAAAAAATACTTTTTTATACCATCCAAAAATAGTTTTTATTGAAAAAAAAAAAAAAAAAAAAAAAAAAAAAAAAAAAATGAAAAGGCCAGAGGACTTCCAAATTTAGATAGGATTCTTCAAATCACTCCAGTTTGAACTCCCTATTAAACTTAAAGCCATATAAAACAGATATTAATCTTGTTTATAAGTTCTTTTTTCCTTTATAATAAGAATTATTAAACCTTGTTGGTTAGTAAGTGTAAGTAGTGTTTATTATCAAAATCAAAATAAAGAAAAAGAAAGAGACACTGTTCAATTCTCTTCATAAGCAGTTTTTGCCTTAAGTTCAAAACCACTATGGATGACAATTCGGGTGACAAACGTCCAATAAATATGGGTTGTTCAATCCAAAGTTTTGATAGGTGGATGGATTTTTGGCCAATCTCCACTGTGCTTTCCTTTTAATCCAGGTATTTGGTTGGTTTTCTTGGCTTCTCTGTTAGTTCTACTTTTTTTTGGCCAATTGCTTGTAAGTGTCGGGTTTTCGTTTGTGGCCATGTTTTTTGGGTTACGGTTGGTTGTTGTAAGGGATTCCCTATTGTCGGGTTTGATATTTGAGAAGGATTTTTTCAGTTCTTGTGGTGCGTTGTTTTCTTGGTCTTGCGTGCCGGAGTTTCTCTCATGTTTAGGGTTGTTGCGCGTTGGACGTGTTCTTGCAACAGGTTGGCTGCTCCTTTCTCTTGGTCTTGTAACGACCCAAATCCTCATGGATCCGGATCATTAAACGGGTCCTTACCCGACCCAAAATCATCCAAGGGTAAAATGGTCTTTTCACATTAAATTTAAATAACAAGGTCCAAAAGGGCAAACTAGTAATTTGTTACAATTCAATAAATTGAGACTCAAGGGTACAACGGTCATTAACTTGTATCACATAACAAATAAAATAAGGTTTGGGGTAATATAGTCCTTTCGAGGGTTAAAATATAATTATGGCATTTTATTGGGTCATAAAATAATTACGTGCAACTTCAAATGGATGCCAAGGTGTAATTTTGGGAAACTAAACACATACTACATAAGTGATGGAAACCAGTCGACGTATCCACACCATAAGTCCACTAGTTTGGATATGAACAGTGGGAAAACCCACTGCCAAGATACCAGTCGACGTATGGAAAGCCACGTTGACTGGTTTGGCACATGATACCGGGATGCCATACGTCGACTGGTTTGGACTGTAAGATACCGGTCGACGTATAGGAAGCTACACGTGGACTGGTTTGGGTTATCCTTACCCACTGTCTAAACACTGTGCCACTACACTCACGTACATAAACTAAAATACATTTCAACATTTAATTGCAATAATAACCACCCCGTTGATAAAGTAATTTACAACACGTTATATGATATACGGGGATTAACATGATACGAATTTAATTACATTACCCAAATGGCCATATACATGATAAATCCACATGTTTTACATATTGCAAAAATAATACATTTTGTGTCATGCACTTTACAAGAATAGTTTAAGTCCCACAAAATACATTCAAAAATGTCTTAAGTTCCCTTAGCTCTGTGGTGGATTATCATCCGCCAATTCCTTGCCATGACCTAAAAAATATTAATTATGTGGGGTGAGCAAATTGCTCATTAGGTAACACTTAAGACACATCTCTTGTGTCCCTATGAATCCAACCAAAGAATAGGACAATAGGAATGGGGATCATACATTGTCGGAATAACACAACATAACAACAAGTCTCATTATAAACAATAGAATGCTATGGGATGCAATGCATGCCAATGTCGCTCCCCATTTTCGAAACCATCACTTTCAAACCGTTAATGTAACCCCCTTTGGTAACTCCGCAGCGCCGAGAGAAGGATTGGCTACTGTCCCTGACCTTTGGTGACTTCGCAACGTCATTATAGGGCCCAGATAGCTCAACTATGCTAGGGCAATCTCCCTAGTTCCCTCTAGGTTACATTAACCTACCGGCCCGTTGGTGACTCCGCAGCGACCGGATTTTATCAAAACACTTTCATCAATACATTCTTTCTCAAAACTCCCCTTTTTCATTTCAAAGTCAATTTTTCCTATTTCTTGCCCAATGTAAATGCATAGATGCATTTATGTCATGCTAATACTCATCATTCCACAACCAACTCAATTTAAGTAAGCAATGCATAATTTCGCAAGAATTTCCCAAGAAATTTCAACATACTCTCATACAACAATACATCTAGCATAACAAACATATACAAATCATCACGTAGGCACATTTTTCACATAAAACATTTAATACAAGCTCTCACATATACATGTTTTAACTATTTTTAAACTACAACTAGCACAACTAAGCATGTCTTGCAACAATTTAGAAGATGTAATTCACATAGGAGCAAAAAAATTGTGGATTAAGAGCCCCTACCTCAAATTGGAGCAAAACCCTTAAAATGGTCAAGAAATTCGAAGGCCAAAAGAAGCACCAAATCTGAAATTGTTGGCATCAATGCGTAGAGCTCGTCGTGCTCTCCGTTTTGCCTCAAACGGCACTCAAAGTTTCCAAGGATTGAGAGAGTTATCAAAGATTAAAGTTAGCTTCCCAAAGAAAAAGAAAAACGCAAGTAAGAGAGGGAAGAAGGAGAACCAGCGGGAGAGGAAAGATAGAGACCAAAATGTGGTCTCAAGACCTTTAAGTTGGTGGTGGTGGGTCCCAAGTATTTTATTTTCTTATACCTTTTTCTTTTGCTTTTATTTGTACCACAAACACATTTAAATACACTACCACATAAATACTATATTACTCATATGAATTAGCATGCACAAAATGCAAACGGACCCAACTAAGAGAAAAGACAAGAATGCCCTTACGGCGACAAAATTTCAGAAAAATTAAAAATGGTAAAAATCGGAAACGTCACAGCTCTGATCAAAGTTGCCTCTCCTCCGGCCGCCATTGACTATGGGTCATGGCTAGTTGTTGCCGGAAAATCTGTGAAGCTGGATATCATTCGGTGCTTCGATTTTTTGCTGATTTCTGTTCTTGGTGGTGTTTTGTTATTTCCAACGACGCTTTCCATGATGATGGTTCGCCGACGATTGGTCAACTCCCTTGGTTTGGTGATTGTGACACCCTTTGTCCCCCTTGTTTCTCACGTCGTATCCTGTGGCGTCTGCTTTTGGATTCCGAGTCAAGAAAGGTCTGCACTTTGTGTCAAACGGGTTGTGAAGGGTATCTACATAATTTTTTTTTTTTTTTAAAATTACTTTAAGTGGCTTGTTTTAAGAATCGTGACAGTAATTCATATATTTACGGTTTTAAAACAGGAGGGAAAAGTAATTTGTTATACATACATAAATGGCTACTCATTCTTTCACCTGTTTTTTTGGTTGTAACAACTTGTGCTTTGTCGCATTGACTTTTTAGAGAAATGGAGAGAAGAGTTGATACAGAGAGCACGGGGTTGTTTGTAACAACTTGTGTTTTGTCGTATTGTATGACCTGCTCAGCTCAACATAATTTTTAGACCTGAGCCGAAAATTTTAAAAGTGATTTTTTGAATGTTTTGTATATTATTATTGGTAATAGTTAATAATTTTTATTTGAAATATTCTTTTAAGAAAAAAAAAAACTTAAAAACACACTACTAACAAAATAAAAAGTCCAAAGATACTCAAAGACGTGAGAGAGTAGAAAAAAAGAAAAGGAAAAAGAAGATATGAGATGAGATAGTGAGAGATTGAGAGAAGGAAAAGAATATATAAAAAAAAATAAAAAATAAAAAGAAGAGAAAAAAAGTAGGACTTCTAATAGAAAAGGTAGGAAATTGGAGAAAAACTAGGAGTATCAATTTATAAAACTAGCCATCCGTTGAATAGAAATGAATATGATATTGATTAAATTGTACCAATCTACCCAACATGTATCAATTTATATGACGAATTAAATTTTTAGGGGCCACCATTAATACATCCTATTGACTGAGACCTTAAAGGATCACCTAAGGTTCCAACTGCGTGATTTACATTGAGATTGCACGCACTGAAAATAATGAATTTTATTAGTCCAAAGCAAGATTGCATTATAAATGATTGGAGTTATGGTTTCGGATCAAGTTACAGTGGGAACGGATTCGAGAGTGGAAGTGTGAGAGCGACATAATTAAATTATAATCATTAAGAATTTGAGCAAGAGTTTGCGCATAGCGTGAGAGCGGAAAAGCGCTCAGAGCATGGGAACGACACCTATTGAGAAGTATTGTGTAACTTAGGTTTCGGATGTTATTAAATAGTTTGTTTGTGCACCTAATGACACTAAGATTCCGTTTATTTTGACGTAAATATTTTTAATTTTTTTTTTCACGTACAATATATTTTTTTTATTTTTGTTTTTTCGGTGTTTGGCAAATGTATATATCGAGATTGAAGTCGAGGAAGGAGTATGTAAAATAACTTACCAAAAATTGATGGATAATTTTTTTTTTTATGTTAGATTGTAATATATATATTTTTTTCGTAATTTTTTTATGTCTTTACGAAGCCATTAGTAAGTGAACATTTTCAACGTCTTCTTTACAAGTTCGGCATGATTGATATTCATGTTCCAACTTGAGGGGGAGTATTGCGCCCTAATTTTCTCTGAGTCCTATGAAAGAATTTCCACCAAGAAATTTTGTTTCCTTTTCTAATTATTGTACCATATTATATCTTTCTAGAATTAT